TCCTCTCTGCGTCTGCTGGTGTCAGAGGGGCCCTGGAAGGTAGGAGGGTGAAGACTGTGCTGAAGCCCCTGGCCAGGAACAGGGTCTGGGGTGGACTGGGGGTGTGGCTCAGTGGGGGCTGGGGAGAGGGAGGCAGAAAGGGAGAGACACAGAGACACAGGCAGGCCGGCAGACATTAGGATGGACTGACTGTTAGCCTTTATCCCAGCAGTAGCTTCCTCTTCAGCACTGTGGGGAACCTCCAAGCTAGACACCTGCTTAGATGGGAGCCAGTGCTAGAGCTCAGTGGGGGAACACTGGCACAGCAGGGGCGACTCCAGCAATAGAAAGTAAGCGAGCAAAGAAGCGAGGAGAAGCGAGCACGCAGGAAGGCCAGACCTGGGCCGGGAAGCACGGGCACGCCTCCTCACCCGTGCCCGCCCAGAGGGCTGCCATGCTTAGAGAAGACACACACTGACGCCGAGGGCACATCCTCAGAGATTCTGACCCTTAAGTGGCTTGGAGAGTGACCCACACAGCTGGAGAGTGACAGCTCCTGCTCGACTTTCAGACGCCAAACGCCTGCACAGGGCCACTCTGTGTGCCACTGGGACCACCATTATGAAACAGGTGTGGGTAGGGGTGCAGTGGGGTCACCTAACAGGGCAACCAGAAACATCACGAACAAAGATAAATGAGGACACATTCTAAGAGCAGATGCTGCCCACAGAGAGGAACGAGACGCGGCTTCCTCGCCACTCCGCGACCTTGCAGTCTTCCACCCACCATGGACCTCTGCTCCTCTGCAAGGCCGCGACCCCACCTCAGAACCAGCCAACTATGGACTGAAGCTTCGAGACACTGTGAACCAAATAAACCTTTCCTCCCTTAAAAAGAGAAAAAGACATGTTTTTATATTTCCAAAGAAACCAAAACTCTACATTTTTATGGAAAATGGTTCAATGTTTCAATGTGCACTCTTACTTTTTAAAAAAATTATAAGACAGCTGGGCATAGTGGCGCACTTCTGTAATCCCAGTACTCGGGAGGCTGAGGCAGGAGTATCATAAATTTAAGGCCAGCCGAAGCTACACAGCAAGACCCTGTCTCAAAAACAAATCTATAGATGGATAGAGAGAGAGTGAGAGAAAGAGAGAGAGAGAGACAGAGAGAGAGAGACAGAGAGAGAGACAGAGAGAGAGAGACAGAGAGAGAGATAGTAAGTGTCTGACAGCACACATCTTTGAGCCTGGCGAGCTGACTCCTTCACTGTCAGTCCACGACCACCAAAAGGCCGAGGTATCCAACCACGACAGAGGAGACCACGTGTCTGACTGGTGGGGACTCGGCGGCCTGGTCCACCTTGGTGCCCAAGGAACACGACGCAGGTCTCCAACTGCTTGTTCCAAGCAGCTCCAGAAGGAGAGCTTGCAGTCCCCTCGCCTTTCAGCGTGACTCAGCCCGACCTCTACCTCACATCCTGTGAGAGGCCCAGAGTGCCAGGAAGTGCAGATTTCACAGAGGAAAGGATTGTGGAGTGGCGGCCAGAGGCAACGGGTGGAAAGGCAGCCATAGGGCCTCCTGTGAGAGACCCAGCAGCCAGCCCACCGTGGGCTTGGCTTTTTCTCTTTTGTTTTCTAGCCAAATGAAAGCGCTGTAGAGAGAGGTCGCACCGTCTGTTGTTAGAGGGCCCAAAACCATCTGAAATGGCTTTCAGGGTCCAACCTGGGTCCTGAGATACACAGCCTCATTCCTTGTCTCCTTCATTTCAAACACTTCTGAGGAGAGGAGTGATCTGAAATGTTCTCGGGCAGTTGGCACAATGGGAGTAGCTGGAAAGTGGCCCTTAGGGGAGTCTGTTGCCAAGCAGAGAGACTGAGAAGGGAAGGGGACAGAGGGCAGGGCAGGAGGGGGGAAGGGGAAGGAGGGGAGGGAGGAGAAGGAAAGAGGGAGGGAGGAGGAGAGGGGAAGGCAGGGCAGGAGGGAGGAAGGGGAGGGGTATGGACCCTGGGTGTCAGTCCCTCCTCTGTG